TGAAAAGAATAATTCTCTAATATATATTAGGAAAAGGATTGGAGAAATTGGACTGCCTTGTGATATTCCAGTTGAAATAGGCTTAAAGGATTCGATTTGATTATTGAAAGAAAGTTTTAGCTATCTTTGTTATAGAAAAGAGGCTATCCAGAAGATAAGATTTGTTGGCAGTTTCAATTTCTTATAAATATCTAGTAATCGATTTCTTGAAATATAATCGAAGGCTCCCTTTATATCCATAAATAGAACTAAGATCTTTTTGTGAATTTGTTTGTTTCTTTTGATTTCGATAATTAAAAGAAGGGCTACATCAATTGCTGATTTCTTTTATCGACCTCCAATTTGACTCTTGTATAATAGATTAATAGTTTCTGCTAAATAGTCTAATCTTTAAGCTAAAATCCTTTTGCTAATCTTTCCAAAACAGTTTAGAAATACAATAACTCTATATACTTTTGGGACTAAGTAATTGGGTTTTGAAGGTTTCTTTAGAATCGCTCCAATAGCTTGTTTCCAGTATTATGAGTAATATCCTAAATTGATTAGATTACTGAATAGATTGAAAAAGATCCATGGAATTACTTTGTATACTTTTATAATGATTTTCTGAATGATTCTATTTGGGCCAGGGGTTTTTCCTTGAATTTTGATTAAGCAAGTATTACTTAATTCGATTTGTGAAAGACTAGGCCATTTTCATTTCTTGGATTACTTATATCCTTCCCATTATGGTTTTGGAGTGATAGAAGAAGGTGGGAATAGAGTTGATCTAAAAGCAGAGCATTTTTCTTCAAAAGAGCTTTCTATTGAAATGTTCAATATCCTTTGATCTTGATAATCCTTTGTATAAGCTATTGCTTTGAATATTGTCTGTATATTCTCTTTTTCTAGGAATTCATTCTAATAATTCTTTTTAGTTGTTTTAATAGCCTGAAAATACTTGTTTTTAGCAATTCGATATTCTTCTTTAAGGCTTGAGTTTTCCAGATTCAATTCAATTGATTGTTTTACTCTTTCTAGTTCTTTTCGAAGATTTATTAATTCGGGGGTTCATTATAGCTTCGCTCTTCTAGTTGACAAAGCTTTAGGTATAGAATTTTCAGTAGCTTTTTGGATAATCCTTGTAAGTTCGCTTACTGCTTGATCCAGATTAGAATAATTATTTCTTTCTTTCAAACCATTTAGTGAATCCTCTTTAGATGAAATTATTAATATTAGAATAGAGAGAATAGAGGAATATAATAATTCTGATTTCAATATCAATTCGAATTTATTCCAATTAGCTAGCTTTGTATTATATTTAGCTAGCAATGTTATATTAAGGGAACTTGCTTCTTTTCTCTTTAGCTCGAATAATATTCCTGTATGATCGGATTCTGTATTTAAAAGTATTTGCTAGTTTTGGATTTAAAAGGCGATTCCTTCTGAGGCTAATATAAGGTTAATAATATTTGGATTAAGGAGATTAATACAATAAAAGGTACTAAAATCAGATTTATTAAAAAGAATAAGGTTCTGATCTTCAAATCATTCGATTAATTGATCAGCATTTCCACTCTTCTCCAAAAAAGGATCCCACTATGGATGATGAGAATTGAAGTCGTTTAGGAGAATGGTTTCTTATATAATCATTGAATTGTATAAGCATCTTTTAATTATAAAGCCTTTTTCTTTAGCTTAATCAATTTCATTATAAATATTAACTATTTAAAAGGTTTTATTTCCATTTCGATAATTGAAGATCTGAATATCAGGATCTCTTAGAGAATCGGGAGAAAGGTTGATTGTAAATTAAAGGGTTTTTGAAGTGTATAATAGTGTTCATGGTTGGTATTTGGGATCGAATCTCGGAAGTGTTTGTGTGAAATTAGAGTGTATAGTTGATCTTGTATTTGAATAATCATTTTCATTTTTGATAATCCAAGGTTCTTGAATAATAATAAAATCGATATTGAGTTCTATTGCAAGCTATAGAATTTTCTCTATAGCTTGTGAATTTCGATTAAGATTTATTTAAATGATTCGAATATTGATATGATTTATTAATGAGTATTATTCGATTTTTGTTGAATAGCCTAGTAGATTTCGTATGTTTTTGAATTTGCTGTATAGTTCCTTTAGTAGTTCGAGTATTTCATTATTAAGTATTAATAGAACTTTCTCTAATATTATATACCATATACAAATATACTAATATAATATATTTGCCTCTATATAAACCACAAAAAGGGTTTCTTCTATAGTAAGCATTTTGATATCTAAACCCTTAACACTTTTGGTATTGTATAATTGATTTCGATTCATAAAAGTTTTCTACTTTTGTACTACTTCCAGCAATATATAATCGCTTTCGAATAGCTAATTTTGCTTCTGATTTTGTGGCAAAAGCAATAACTATAGCTCCCTCTCATTGATAAGCTCTTTTGAAAACTAATGTGAGCCAGAAGGGGGTTCTGATTGGTTTGAAATCTGGATTAAAGGTTTTGATTTCCTCTAAAATAAGATCCATTCCTTTCGGTCCTGAGAATTCTCTTATTGGGATTTTGTGGATAATAACTTTATGCCATTCTTGATCCTTTTGAATCCTCTCGAATTTAATAATATTATTCCAAATAGTTTTCTTTTCTAAGAGGAATTGTAATGTAAAGGGATCGTTTTGCTATAATAATGATATTATTATTGAAGGATAGAGTAGTTGCTGCAATAACTGGCTCTTTAATTCCACTCTTTTGAAAGGCTTCGTTTATTTTATTTCAAATAGTTAAAGAGGAGAAGGAAGTAGAGTTTGGGATTTCTGGTTTGATTAGGATTAAGCGTTTTTGAGTGATTTCAATCTTTTTGTCTATTGGAATAGGCTTAATAGCTTTTCCTTTACTAACTAGATTCCATTCTCTTTCTTTTGCTATAATTACAAAAGTTGATTTAGTTGGTATTGTAATAATTGGGATTGGATTTTTGGCTAGTGTTTTAGTTTGAGATTCGATTTTCTGTATAGCTAATTTGAGGTGAGTGATTTGGAATGCAATAATATTGAAGGCTATAATAAGCTTTCCTTTTTCAATATATTCTCTAAAGATCTTTAGGAGATCTAATAACTTCGATTGCTCATTATATAATTGAAAAAGAATTGAAGCTAGTATTATAAAATCTCTTGCTTTTAGGATCGCTTTCTTAATATAATTGCCTTATTTTATATTCTAGATTGTTTGTTCTAATTGCTAAAGGGTATTGTAGGATACTATTTCTTATTCTGATTGAATATATAAATAGTATTGATTGTATCTTGAGTAATAAAGAAGTTATTAAGTAGATTGAACTCTTTAACTCTTTTTTCAGAATTGGTTGATTGATTGGTTGGTAGAATAGGGCTAGAGATTTCGAATTGAGGGTTTTCAGAAGGCGAAAAAGGGCTTGAAGGTATTGGGGTATTTAGGACAATAATGGGATAAGTATTTAATATGATGAAGGCTTCAGAAGAAGCCTCTATTATAGCTGTATCCCGAAGTATTGATGGATTATTGTAACAATCTATATTAGAAGTTATATTCTTATTTTGAAGATTTAAAGTGAAAATTTTACGCGAATTTTTGTGTGAGTTTTATATTTAAAGTGTTGATAACAGTATCACAACAACTACTAGTCAGAATCACTTGGGGGCAATTGCAATCAATTTGGTTTAATAATTATGATCTAAATCGATTGCGAAAGGGTCGTATTTCGAAGAAAAAGTTTCCTTCGAAATTTGTTGTGTGTTGGAAGTCATTCGAATTTGTACGTGGGTTTGTGGAGAGAATTCGTCTTCTGTTATAATGTACTACATTCTGAGGAATTCCATGAAGAGGATTGCGTATATAGATTTTGAAATTATTACGGTTGGTTAAGTGGTTTCGAGTGGGAGCTTGGGTGGCAGTACTCTGATGAAGACTTCAGAAGATTGAGATGTTACGGTTCAGAAGTTAGAACTAGCAAGCTAGTAACCTTGCTTCATGCTGAATTGTGGTAGATTATGAAGCAATTCTTTCTTGTTCATTACTCGCATCATACTAGTCAAGTATGATGTAGGAATTTCTCTGAATTTGATAATGAGAGGAGATTTTTGCAGTATATTTTTGATATGGTGGCTAGACGACGTTGATGTGCTTAAACACAAAGCAGTTGCAGAGGTGAGTCTGAGACGAGAGATGGATAAAATGAATTTTTGGAAAAGACTTACTATCCGAGGATCTAGAATCTTGATCGAGAATTTTCCATTATTCTTCGTGCATACTGAACCGTAAGTTTTGCTAGAAGATGAAATGATTAGATTATAGGGGATACTGTCTGAAGGTTGATAGACTCCGAAATTCACATCTACGGTACTAGATGATTCTCTATCATTGTGGAATCTATCACTAACAACTCGAGTCTAATACAAATTCTCTGGAACTAGTAAATTCACTTGCAAAAGTCAACTTCAAAAATTTCACATAGCCCCTTCACTCGGTTCGCTTGCTACGGTAGGTAGATATTCACTCTTGTGACATCATTACCTAAACAAGTATTCTCAAACACTAGAAGTTACGATTTACGCGCATCAACAATAGCAACCGTTTCATCAGTATCAATTCACCGTATTGAAATCTTCGGGATAGATACATGAAGATTTCTTTTCCCAATCCACTCATTTGATGCGAAAACATCTCAATAGATGGTTTTCAATTTCAACTCTAAACCACATTCAAATCGATTTATTCAGTTCGGAAAATTTACAGAGAATCAAGAATTGTAGAACTATGACAATTAACATGGTTTTCAGTAAAGGTATAGTCAATTTCTGTTCCACCATTCCTTTCTTTTATCTTCCATCCTGCTTTTTCCATGTTACCACTCTCCCTATTATCTTAGCAAAAACTTTACAGTAACTGACTAATCACCATAGAAGACTCCAAGGGTTTCCGCCACTCTAGAAACCCACCAAAATACCAAGAAGTGTCGCAGCTAGTGCACATCCCCAAATCAAGATGAATCCCAGTACGCCTCCATCTACCTCACCCGAGAAATCCGAGAGCAATTGTCCCGCTTGTAGAACCCCCGAGACTCCAACACGGACTTGGAAGATTCCTAAGGGGGATAACAAAGACAAGGACAGAAGTGGAAGAACTTTGATCTCAAAGATTCTAAGTAGTCCTGGCTCAACGCTTCGTACGAGCCCGATTGCTTTTGCCCTTGCTGGTAAGATAAGTTTACGTTACAAAGATGCTCCTAGCATTTCTTCGTCGGATTCTGGCTCGACTGTTAGGGAAAAGATCGCTGAGGCAATGGCTACAAATCAATTTGCCATTCCCGATCGTGATCTTCCGCTATCTCCACAGGTTAAGACTAGAACAACTGCGCCAAAAATGAGTAGTCCTCTTGCAAGTAAGGGAAAGAGTTACCTACTACCGCTATTTCGCCGCCTGAGCCTGTTATCATTAAGGGTGTCATTTCTCAGACGGAATCGCCCCTACTTGTTTCTGGACCAATCGCTTCTACTGCTGTCCCAAGTCCAGTACACACGTCTGACGCATCGTACACTTCTTCCACGCATGCATCAACAAAGTCTCCACAGCACCCTCAACACCTAGTGCTACTCGCAAGCCCGAAGAATCATTTCCATCACGCCCTATACAAAGAAAACTCAATCAACACCACTCCTCCCAAAGCGACATCGTTCTCTACTGGGTCTTCTCGTCATGTTGTTGCATCCAGCGTTCCAAGCGAATTCTATGAGTATCATACCATTAACGGTATTATTGATCTTCCTTTTGCCTCCAAGAAATATTCATCTGGAGGTAGCTCTGATTACGATTCTGGCTCCGGAATCGACCTCCTCGTCCTCGCACGTCTCTTAAAAAAATCTACCGGGGCTTTTCACGTAATGTGAGGCCCAGAGTTCTGGGTGCATACATTTTGTTCGGAGGTTCCATCATCTGGCTTGTTTGGATGACTTCAAGTAAAACACTTTCAGGCAAGAAAGGAAATCCAGGTCGTAGCCATGGTGGGATTGGTGGACATGTTCCTCCATATGGAATGGGCATTCCTACATTGACTCCATCTTTTTCTACTCATGATATCGAAGAGTTTATGCCTGTTGACGAGCCATATCTCACTACTGGGGGTGTCAACGATCGTCAGGTATTACAAAATTTCGACAAGTCATGTCCCAATCCACCCTCGAAGTTCGAACCAGAAGAGAGCTTTTGGGATACTTTGTGTGAAGTCTTTGTGGCTTTGGCGTGGCTATTAGGTATAATTTTTGTCTTACGTTTTATGCCTGCGCTGATCGCGGAATTACTTCTATTCTTTTTTTATGGTGGCGAGGCAGCTGATGGAGATTGGAGTGAGAAGGTTTGATCGAGAAAGTCTTGTTCGGGGTGGAAAGATTGGACCGAAGTTTGTGATATGAAGGTTCAGATTCTGAGAATTTAGGGTGGAAAAATTGTGAGAAGGGGAGTATGCCAAAATAGATTGTGTGTTATGAGATGTGAGATAAAGGTTTAGCATGGCAGAAGATGCTTAGGCACTGAAGTGGCTCTTGTCTTGACTTAAGGGAAGGATGTACAGAATCAAAAATGATTGCGCGTTTATTTATGGGAGACCCAGGGAAGAATATCTGCATTTTCTGTTATCTTGGGTGTATATTAACGGGGTTTCGGGGCTTGGCCTGTGAGTTGTTTCTCATCAAAGTAGTGAACTTTCACTACCTATGTTTTATTTCTGCGACGAATAACTCATGGTAAATGATGGTTGAATATCTCGTCTTCAAATGGAATCTTTACCTGTGATTGAATGTAAAGTATCGACGAGACTTAAACATAACACCACAAGCACTATCACCGAAGTATTTGTTGCCTCTTTCGAATGATCCAATAGCTAGAGCTCAAACATGCAGAAGGAACAGATCTTATATAGATTCACGCGTATCAAGGAAACAGGTTTTGTATACTTGAAAGAGCTGGTACAAGGTCTTGAGAGCAGATTGACTTTTATCCGGTCGGATCTAACAAGTCGAAGTCCAGCTGAATCTACTGAATCACAACATCGGTAGTAGTCTACCATTATCAGATTAACCCCCGCTATTATAGACACAATTCATTCCTAGGCAGAGACTTGTAGGCTGTATATTTAGCTTTAGCCTCAATATCAGCCGTAATTTACCACTTTGGGCAGACGACACTGTCTTGATAGGCCTCCACTTGAAAGCTGCCTTATGCCGTGATCCTCTCGAACTAAGGCATTTAATATGAATGAATGAAAACTCTTGGAATCTTGGAATTTTGGGATCTTGGAATCCTTCGATCTACCATGGTCAGATATCAATTTGAGATATATTTTACCAACGCGTTCATCTCATGGAGCAGGTCTAAGTGGGCTCTCGGGGATTACAATCTACCACGTTGTAATCAACATTACCTGTTGTTTCAGAAGTCTACCATAATCCACACGAAGAAATCCCTATTCTGCGAGTGGAATTGAACAGCGTATGGAGTTTAGTCCTCACTTGAGTTGCATGGTCTTGGTAATGGGGAGTCGTCGGAAAATGTGAGGAAGAAGTGCGGGAATGATCCATCTTACGTAATCATTTCAGTCGACATCCCAAGCTCTGAGCTAATGGACCCCCAAAATCGGCATCTAGCTAGTTAGACTGAGATGCGAACAACACCTTATGACTTTGTTTTGCTCCTTTTCCTGGATTATTCGAGCAACCGCGATTAAGAGGCTCTCTGCAGATTGATACACTTAATGCACAACACCTTTGATTTAAAGTTCCTGGTACAGCAAACTGAGTTGCCCCCCGAACAAGCCGAGCCCTTCGATTTAATGCTTTGCTATCTGCGGATTTCCTCGACCGCGGAACCATTAGTAGATTCGACCTAGTATACTCGACCTCCTAGTCTATGAAACATATCGACGCTCAAATATGGCAATGAGGTGAGTGCAGTGCATCAGGTATTTGAAATTCACACGGCATTTTGGGCAGTCAACTCCGATGAATCTATCGCGAAGCTTGCAAAGTCTCCAATAACTCGCGAAATAATGGCATATCTGGAAGAGATGTAGCTGGTGCAGAGGTCTACGCATCAATGCTGGGGAGGTATCGCGAACGAAGGTCTTGCGGGATTGCCATGTGTTCAGAAGCTAAGAGATGGTGAAAGTAGGGATAGCCATCAATGTGGTGGTTGCAGGAAAGCCTTCGGGCTAATTGCTGAGCTGCTTCGTCCCCCGACAAGCACTGCTGTTCAAGAGACCAATCCGCAACAATATGGGCTCTAAGAGATGTTTTCATACATCTCCAGACTACGAACCTCAAGATAACTTTCTCTGATACATTTTCTGGGGGTCTACCACGTCCTAGATGGCACATCTTTGAGGTAGGTTATTGATTACGATACGATTGAAGCAAGCACGGAAATATTGACAAAGTGAGGTCGTTGTAAAAGGCCAGAGGGCGAGACTCGAGCTCATCTCATCCACAAGCAATCTTGACTACATACTTTTGAATCCTATACCTGGTGTTATCAAGGAGTAGTTGCTCTAGCTTACGTTGCATACCAATGCTACAGCTCGATATAGCTAGCTAGGAGCATGGAGAGTCTACCATGGAGGGTTTTGGTGAAACTAGGAATTTTACTAGTTTCTCAAATTGCCTTCAGAGCTTCAAATATACACATCGGAACGCGAGCTTGAAGAACATCGAGTAGTTGTTTTGCATAGCCAACAAATGTTCGCTCCTCTACATCCTTATTTCGCAACAGGCTCCAAAAGAAAAAGGACCAAGCATCACTGGACAATATATAAATCAACTACGCCAATTCCTATTGCACTCCGTATTTGCTCCTGTTCACGAAGCCTCGTCTTGAAGAGGCACGAGCTTACTTTTGGCTTGATCCATTTGACTATTGTAAATATCACAGCTCGTCCAGTGATATTTTTCAATCATGAAAAGGACATTCTGTCTTTTCGCGAAGATCGCCATAACTACAAAGTGGACTGGAAGTCATACTACTTGCCTTTCTGCAGTTTCGTAGACCGAACAGATCTTGACAGGGTCCAGAATTCAGGGTTCGGAAGTCACATACCCAGCATAAAGCACCATAATTTGTATAGATTATACACAATTCTGTGTGAATGGAGACCATTGAAACACGTATTTTGAGGTATGAGGTCACTAAAATTCAACTACGTGAAAAATCAATTTTGAAAAATTGAATGGAGATGAGTTGCATTCTGTGGACTTGTGTAACAAATAGCCCAATTACGTGCGATCTATACCTTACTATCCTGGCGATTCAAAAACTACTCGAGAGAACTTGGAAAACGTTCTGGATGCCGTCAAACCCTGTTTGGAATCTGGAATTTTGCCTTGGACTTTGGAAAGAGAATCGGGACCCGCCGAAACACGATGGGGGTCACTTCTAGATAATTTCGAAAGATATGAGCATGTTTGCCGTTGTACATACTTCTTTTCACGATGAATTGGCCCGGTATTTGCAGCGGGAGTCTCGGAGAAAGAGTAATATTCCCTGAATCGAACCCTACATCTTCAATTCTGTGCATACATATGCAGTGAAACGGAAGGAAGCTCATCTTCTAGAAGATCTCCACCCCCAAATTGACATGCATTAGCTCTCCACAGCGCATGAAGTCGCTGCAGGAACTCCGGCTTTCTTCTTGGATATGGAAGGAGACAAGAAATAAAATTCTGATTTTGGAAAAGTCTCCTAAAATCCGCTTTACCTGCACATATTAACAACCTTTTTGTAGAATGTATTCTATAAATTCAAATACCGGTCGCATGACCCCCACGAACCTATTTATCCAGGGACTTGGAGATTTTCGGTCCTGACACCGTCTTGGCTACATTATTTGTACAACAGGAAGATGCCGACCAAGGCGCTAAGTGTGCAGTCAGCGCGGGGTCAAAAGCCCCCTGAAATCATTCATGTGGATATTGAAAAGCTATATCTGCACGATCGGACGCATTCAACTTTCGTTTAGTTTCTTCCGCGTCTAGTTATTGAATACCATACCACCTTCCTCAATTCACTTCAACGCCGAACCCAAAGAACGTTCTGGAATAAAACATCTTTGGGCGTCAATATTCTTCAACAGTTCGAAGATTTTTAGGGATCGGGTTTGAAAACAGGGTTGAAAGTGGGTCTAGTCAATCTGGGTCATGAAGCAGATCCCGTTCTCACCAGGATTGTTGATGAGGATAAGGTGGCTTGGTGGAGAAGAAGGAATTTAAGAATCTTGTATCTCTTGCTATATCCAACATGTATGGGGATTGAGATGACGTCGGGGTTCGACTCTCAGATGATCAATGGATTGCAGTTTATTCCTTCTTGGAATAAATGTGAGTTCAGTGTTTAGTAAGTTTATTGGTCGGAGGAATATTGATGATGATGAAATACAGACTTTGGTGAGCCGACTATTGACGGGGCTGGGAATTCGACGTATGCTCTGAAGGCAGAGCTTTTGGACATTGTGGCTGCGGCATACAGCTTAGGTGCTATTTTGTCGGTGCCGTTCGTACCAATGCTTGCTCAACGTTTTGGGCGTAGGTGGTCCATAATGTTTGGGTCTATTGTGATAGTCGTTGGGTCATTTCTTCAGGGCTTCTCCATCAATGGTATGGCCATCTGAACACCTCTGATTGGGTATACACTCACCTTGAAACAGCTGCGATGTACATCGTTGCCAGAATGTTTCTTGGATTTGGTATTGTCTTCGCAATTGTCTCCGGATCAGCCATGCTTGGTGAATTAGCATACCCGAAAGAAAGGCCAGTTATGACTTCTCTCTTCAATGCATCTTGGTTTGTAGGATCTTTAGTTGCCTCCGGTATTACCGTTCGCACTGCAACCATCAATACAGATTGGGGATGGAGAATACCATCTCTTCTTCAAGCCTGTTCCTCACTTATTCAGATCATCTTCGTCTTGTAAATATATCTTGAATTTACCAAGATACTCCTAACAACAGACAAAGCTTCCTGCCGGAAAGTCCTCGGTACCTTATTAGCAAGGACAGACGAGACGAAGCATTCGATATCTTGGTCAAGTATCATGCAGAAGGAAATCGTGATTCGGTATTCGTTCGTGCTGAAATGACTCAGATTGAAACAACGATCAAACTAGAAGTAGAAGCTTCTAAACGATCTTGGATGTCCATGTTGAGTACTCCTGGAATGAGACGCCGGGTATTTCTCGCTTCTGCCATGGGAGTCTTCACACAATGGTCTGGCAATACTTTGATTTCGTGAGTGCCCTATTCATTCGCTCATCTCATGATTTAACAACCCCAGATTCTACCTTTCCAAGATCCTTGCCATGATAGGTTACAAGGATATCAACACTAAAACCATGATTAATCTCGGATCGACAGCTTGGTCTTTCTTCACAGGAACTTTAACCGCCCTCATAGTACCAAGGTATAAACGCCGCACTATGTTTTTACTCTGTGCTTGTAGTATGTTCTTTGTGTATATAGCATGGACAATCAGTATGCAACGAGCTATGCTAGCATATGATACCAATCGGCCCAACAAAGCTGCTGCTATCACCACACTATTCTTTATATTTCTCTACTCGCCTTGTTATAATATTGGGAACAATGCACTTGCGTATAGTAGGTACCATCCTCTGACCTATCAAATGCTGAGATCCAAACCCACAAACTATACTAAAACCCCACAGCATACCTAGTAGAACTCTTCCCCTACGCGGACCGTTCTCGTGGCATCTCCATCGAACAATTTTTCGTCCGAGCCGCTAATTTCTTCACCACCTACGTAAATCCCATCGGTATGACCAATATCGGCTGGAAATATCTTATTATGTATTGCGTAACCATTTGTATTGAGATAATCGTGATATACTTCTTTTATCCTGAGACTCAGGGACGCAAGTTGGAAGAACTTGCTTTTCGTAAGTGTTTGTGTCTTTGGTTTCGTGGAATTCGTATATCAACTTGAGAATTCAATTGAGCACCACTAACTGGAGATCTTGGGAATAGTATTTGAAGACAATGCATTGGCAGAGGAAGCTGCTGTGGCTGTGGAGAAAACTATACATTTTGATCACCGTGAAGAGGCAAGGACTGCGTAAAACTGAGGCTGATACCCTGCACCCAATTGCGTGGAAACGGATCAAGATCTCATTCGTACATACTGCATGATTCGGCTGAAAAGAAATTTCTGATACTTCATATTTCTTTTGTTGTTTGTGCTTCAATGAACCCCTATTTTTTAACATTTGTTACTGGTTCCTTCAGCTGTTTATCCGATTGTATACATCTTCAGGACAGGTAGAGATCGAACCACAAGTAACTATTCTTCAAAATCAAAAATTTAAGCTTGACATCTTGAAATTGTGAAATATCGATACCTTATCAATAATCTCCAAACAAGCTCCATCTCGCTGGCGCGTCCTTACACGCAAAGATCCCCACAATACGTGCACGTTCGCCGCGCGTTAATCTTAAATGACCAAAATTCCCCATTCCCATCTACATACATATCCACTATAGGAAAATTTCCAAAAGTTTGACACCTATTCAGAAATCATGATTTGTGCTTGGCGGTCTTGAATGGATACCATATGGATCACATTGCTTTGCTATCTCTAGAACGTCAGCCGCGTCGTAAGGAGAAGAGGATGTATGCTTTCGGTCTGTACTGTGGGAAGGCTCATTCTCTGAGTCTTTGTGTCTTTGAGATGTGAGAGGAAAGTCGATATGAGGTTTTGAAGAGTGCTTTTCCTTTTTTAGTAGATGTTATTTATTGCATTTGCGTCTTATCCTGTTTCAAATTCTTGATTTTGTCTCTGTGATTTTCAACCCCTTTTCCCCTGAAAATTGTCTTTAGTTTTGAGTACGCAGCACCTTTTGATACCCTTCTGTTCAGCTATTTCATATTCGATACCCCTCTTTCCATCACCAAACTCCCAAATCACGCAATGCGGGGAACACAATTCACACACCTTATCCCCATCCTCTTTGGGCGTCTCATCAACGCGACTCCAGAAACCTTCCCTTACATTCAATCTACAGAGTTTGACGCTGGAGATTATGGTGCCTATCCGAATCGCACTTATACAACACGCCCAGACTTGATCTCTCCTCGTCTTAATATCCTCCAAGATGATCCGAGATGTGATGATGGATTATATACGATGATATCTCTCAGAGGTGATAAAGTGCATATCACGGGACAAAGCCCCATGATCCATGACCACCAAGGGAATCTTGTTTGGATGAATGCATCGTATGGAGAGACATTTGGGCTGAATGTACAGAGATGCAAAGACGTGGATTATTTGACCTTTTGGCAGGGTGATGATTCGGTGGGGGCACATGGGGAGGGAGTTTATATCTTGGTATTTTTCTCTCAGATATGTAGACATGTGATCTATACTGACTATCTCATCCAGCTAGATTCCCAATACAAAGAAGCCTACCGTCTAACAGCTGGCAACAACGTCCTAGGAGACCTCCACGAATTCCATATAACACCTGAAGGAACCGCTTTAGTAACCCAATACATTCTCAAAGAAATGGGCATCCAATATCGTCGTCGCACCCGTAAAGGCTGGGTTTAGGATTCCGTAATCCAAGAAATTAACATAGAAACCAACGAGATTATATTCGAATGGCACGCATCCGAACATTTCAACACCGAAGACTCCTATTTTCCAACCGGAAGTGCTGGACTAAGAAGTAGCCATGGGTATGATTTCTTTCACATCAATAGTGTTGACAAAGATGGATTGGGAAATTACCTGATCAGTCCAAGATATTATCAATCCGTGTCTTATATTGATGGGAAGACGGGTGAGATTCTTTGGGAGCTTGGAGGAAAAAGGAATAGTTTCAAGGATTTGTCCGAGGGGAAAGCGACAGTATTCAGCTGGCAACATGATGCTCATCGGACTACAGATCGTAAGGGAATTACCTTATTCGACAACGGGGCGCGTTATGGATTGAGACCGCAAGTTGAGAGCTCCCGTGCTATTCATGTATCCCTCGATATTGAAGCCATGACTGCGGAAATCGTACGCGTATATGTGAATCCGAGAAAAATCTTAAGTGCTAGCCAAGGCAATATGCAGGTACTCGAAAATGGAAATGTAATGGTTGGATATGGGTACAATGCTGCTTGGACTGAGTATAGTTCTGAAGGAGAAGTTCTCTGTGATTTTCATATTGGATCTCAAAAGACATTCAATACAGGAGCGGTGCAGACATATAAGGTGTTGAAACATGCATGGATTGGCAGGCCCGATACAGTGCCGGATGTGAAGGTGGTGCAGAACAACGTGTATGTTAGTTGGAATGGGGCTACGGAGGTTAGAGCATGGGTTATGGAGGGAGCGAAGACTGGCAGGGGAGAAGGAGGCGAAGAGAAATTTCAGATGGTAGCTGAAGTTAAGAAGAGTGGGTTTGAGACTAAAATCTTGTTTCAGAGAAAAGCTTGGTGTTGGGTGAGAGTTATCGCTATTGATGGCGAGGGTGTAAAGCTGGAGACTAGTGAGATTTGGGCTACTGGAACAGACTGTAAAGATACGGTATGTTATTCTCTTACTGACTCCCATCGACTCGTTGAGATGTCCCAACTAACGATTCAACAGATCGATCTACCCGAGACAGAGGAAATAATAGAGGAAGAAGGAGAGGCTGCAAAGCCATTGATACCATCAAAGTTTGCATTAAAAGTAATAGCGCTTGCAGGATTTGCATTTGGAATGTTGGAGTTATGTAGAAGGAAGTTTTGGAAACGGACATTGTCCAGTTTCGGATATAGAGTGCTCCCTATCCAAGCGCAGGATTAGGGTATCGAGAAATAATGTTTTTAATGATCAGAAATGCTTTAATTTCTTTGATGTTGTGAATGTACTTAGCGTACTCATGACCTTGGCTTCTTGGCTATTGGCGCCCAGAAGCCTCTTCTGTGGCAATGGAAAGCTGCCTTTCCCAATTAGGGTTGACAATCAAACAGCCGCACATCATGCTATGTGGAGAATAACACAAATTTGGGAAATACAATGGATGAAAAATTTGCGCAGTTCTTGACTTCAAGAGAACTGGCCCTTTGAATTTGATATGACTTTTATTAACCCTCTTCGTAGTTATAGCCCCCACAAAACGCCAGACACCATTCTGATATGCATCATCGAACATCCAGAGAGAACCTCATGCTTCGGTAGTAACAACCCCGCCAGCATCCTTCCACTTTTGTACTCGTCTTCTGATGTCCGATTCCGTTTGTTGCATGGGATTCAATCTTCTGTCTCTGACCATGGCTCCGTAGTTCTCTCCCCATCTCTTGACCAACTTCTCAATCCATTCTTTCTCCCTCTCACTCTGTTGTCTCTCCCTCTTCTCGCCTGCTCTTGAAGCTTGTTCCTCCAACATCTTTACAATCTCGTTTTTGGATGCGGAACCCTCCTCATTACCGAAACCTTCGAAACCTTCTCCATCCTCGTCATCCGAGTTCAGAATATCGTTCAATGGATTTGATTTCTTCTCATCGTGAATGACCCTGATAATCTTTCCAGTCTCTGGATCTCTCTCGACTCGCGCTTCAGTTGGTGCAAAGTTCTTTGGAATTGCATTTGAGATGGCGAGCTTGTTCGCAGTGGAGGTTTTTGATTCGGATCCCGCAGTCTTCTTCTCGATACCACCGGTAACGGTATTGAGACGACTAGTTAAGCCAAGGCGGCGGTAATTTTGTGTAAGAGTTTCATCTTGTCTCCTGTGATAAGTGATTAGGATTAATTGGAAACATACAAAGCTGTGTAGCAAACTTACCAGTTTGCAGCGACGATTGCATTGCCTAAAGGATTGATACGCTTAGACTTTGGCTTGTGCTTGATCTTATTGTTTCCAGATCTATTCTTCTTCTTTTGGAGTTCGCGACCCATTTTCTATGATTGCAGATGATATGTGAGGTGGTGGAATAAGATTGTTTTGATAATGTATTGTTACCTCTCAAACTCTAACTTCGAAAATCTTCACATTGAATTTGAAAAATTCGAAGCTAGCCTTATCAGCGGGCTTATCATCACATGATTCAGATGATCCATTTTAGCATTCCAGATCCCGTGATCCGGTCGCGTGACTCTCTTCTTTTTGTAGAATCGACCTCGGCCCCGAACAGCCTTTTTTTTAGTCGTCTCATGTATATCTTCATCATCTCGATCTAATAACGGAAGCGAGAGACTTAAGCAGTGTCTTAATATATACTTGCATTGCGATTAAGCAACTCTCATCACATATGTGAATGTCTTCATCCCAAGTGGGCCTTACATACCTCCAGTTGTGCCTGTCTAGCTGATTGAACTAGAACAGTACAAATGTATATTGCTTCCGCGTGTCCAATAACGTCTACGGAGATGTCAAAAGTTAACACGGAAGAACCCCCACCCCCCCAATCCCCACGACTTAGGTACTAGATACTTATCTAAAGTATTGTTGTCAAACAAACAGTGATCCAATGCTAATCTATGGAGGTGCACCTATCTAAACGAGAATGGTATTTTCTCCGGACTTCATCTCCGTCACAATTATACCTTTCAGCATGGTGTGAATATAAGATTCTGGGATATATATGGACTTGGTTGGTTGTTCATGGGATAAATTCATCGGATATTTGACAGCATGTCACTATTTCTATACCGATGGTAATATCCGAAATCGGGGACGATTAGGTATGAATGCTGAAGAAATCTATTTTGCTTTGCTATACGGAGCATGGGCAAAATGCTGTGCACTTCGTACCCCCACAAAGTTGTCTTACTCTCTTCACGATCTACCTCATCTTTCCTATTCTCTTCTTTTCAGCCTTTGCCTTTGAATATTGATTTGTCAGTGGAGGAGGATGAAGAGGCGAAGTCCTAAAAGGATCAACAGCCAATCCCAACGCAGCTGGTGTAACGTTCCATCACAGTCTGTAGATTTCTCGCTTGACAAGTGACTTGAGCAGTAAAGAAATATCTAGACCAATCAGCAGCAAATTATTAAGTGCGAAAGGATTTCGGAGTAGGCGGCGAAGTTCGGCAACGGACAGCGCGATGAGAGGCTAGCGGTAGGATTCAGTTCCCGTTAATTCTTCTTGATCCCCTACAGACTGCATCTATGACTTCTTCAAAATAGCCGCGCAAAAAATCATAAAGAAGGCTGTTGTATCATATGATTCGCATCGTTAACCATTCATTGATGTCGGTAGAGCAACTTTAGGCCAAGTCCGTCAATCTACTGAGGAATTGAGATGGTGGGCTGGTCCACCTTGTGGTGCGGGTAAATAAGATAGGTTAACTTGGCATATCCGAGACATCACGAACGATGGCGTATCGGAGATATTACCCAATCTTGATAACATTGCTGCGTGCTAGATAGGACGCCAAATAACCCAAAATTTGACAGACCTTGAAAGTTCTATTAGACTTTCTCACAACTAGGTCTTAAATTCTATTGTTAATCGCCCGTTGTCATGGTTTCCTTGTTGTTTTGTTAGCTTCCTTACCAATATGTACTCCGTTAATGTTTACTGTCATTATTGTGCTGAACCATCGAGCCACCATGATTCCCGTAAAGTTTAAACAACTAACCTTGCTGATATTTCTAAGAACACATATGCTTGTGAACCAAAAGTTGTCCAAATTTGACTTCAAGAAGAATTAGCTCGTTACTTCGGCTGATCGCTGGAAGGCATCTTTGAACTTTTTGACTTGTACCTGAGATAGCTCGAGGCTAGCAAACCCTCGTAAATGATGAAATAGCACATACATCCGGACCATTCTGGTCTGAAAAATGAGGAAAAGTAGCTGGATATCGCCCTGCTTTTGATGAGATACTGACTCGCGATCAAGATGAAGGAAACGACCGGCAAAGTTGTAACCTCTGAGGGATTAACAGGGATCTATCTATCCCCCCTGATCCACTTCCACCGGAGTTGAGAAGCCACACCGAGGCATCTAAAGCCTGCAATTGGAAGGATTAAAGATATTATGTAGGCACGGATTTGCTAAAGCATATAGGTGAACCGATTGGAAGAGCGCTGGAGGAGAGCTGTATGTTAAGGTTATATATTTGTGATATAATATTGCTTTGTATCGTTCTTCGGGGAGTTCCATCGTGGCGCCAATTCCTTCTATGCGTCTTCGAAAGCTTCTAGCTCGTATCCACTCTAGGGTAGTGCAATCAAATCTTGTTGAAGAGAGGCTTTACAAGGATTGGTCGGCTTGGTTGCGGTGCTCGGTTTGTGATTTGCCGAATCAACCTTTGGGGGAGCCGCCAAAGATTCATTTTATTTCATGCAGCGATTGTCTAACTTGTCTTGCAGTAACAGATATGGGAATCATACGGAAATACTACACCCCTCTTGTGAATTTCGTTGATGATCATCAAGGATTTTGCTTTGATTTGAGGTCCAGCCGTATAGATTCAACAGATCTGCAATTGTCTAGATTGGACCCTTAATCAATGGTCATGCGTATCACAGTGTATGTAATAACAATGATTCTGTTTGTCAGAATCATTACTATTCTTATCATCCAGTCCTTAGCATTCATCCAGAGGTTTGTGAAAGCGGAATGAAGATCATGAGGGGGATCCTAGTGCAAAATGGCCCATAATGAAGGCTAGTCGACGGCCAGATGCATACAATATGGAGTATGATTGATATGAGTGGCTCGGAAGACTTGATATCATTTTGTGGGTGTTTCTTGCTTAGTCCAATCGAAAAATATGATGAAAGAAATATCCAACTGCCATACAGAAGGATGAAGTGGATTTTTTTTTACGAGACTCGAATGAATCCTATCCGCACCTTACCAGTAGCTATTCTCTCATTTCTTACAGTTTTGCGTCTTTCGCGCTTTCTTAGCTGCAGAATATAAACGAGCTTGAGCTCTGCAGGCAAGTAACCAATCGTATACTAGTTTGCTACCCAACCTCATTAAGACCCATGATGAAGTTAGTTCTTCATGGACAGCTCAGACATGAAAATACATACAATACCCCTCATTAGGTACGATCAGTACTACCCTCTCCTGCATTCAAATGCAAATAGTATAGTGCTTCTTATCTATTAGCAATCTTATCGGATGTAATCAGACGCTTTGTGCCTTGATCGCACATTGCGTCAGACTGGGATCAAAGAGTCGAATTACAGCAATTTCCTTTCCATCGCCCTTCATCATTTCAATGTCCTGGGTAAAAGTCCTAACTATGCCTTGCATTGTCACATCAACAACCTCGTCATAATGCAAATTTAGTATTACAACACGGGATATGAACGCTTTCTTGATGTTTTGCACAAGTAAAACAGGGCCAAGGCGAGCTAAACATACATTGTCAACGGCCGGGCTACTAATTCAGGCATGTGCACGGCAGTACCGAACAATCAGGGGAGAAATAGAATCACCGTTTGCCTCCCCACCGATACTGCATTTTAGTGGTTGCTTGACGCCAGTGGCTTGTCGACAGTTACCTGTTACTTCTCATCTCCGAAATTCCTACACTCTGTTTTAAGCCATATCTGTACCTATCATTTCTAAACTCCTCTCATCCAATAACTATTATGGGAAATGATGCTAGTAAAATGGGACATGGGATTTCATGACGGTCCAAGATATATAGAGCCTGTTAAAACTAATCATAATTTAGAACCCGGTTGTTGTATGGGGTCTGCTGGCACTTCTCGAGATAGCTTCCGCAATGGCGAAATATCCCCCCGGCTTTCAGATCAACCTCCACGGCACGGAAAATGAACGGACATGCTTCAGTGGATTGATTGTGGATTGAGACATATTAAGCTTATTCATATGAAGCTCTCGATCTCATATCTCTTCACGAAAATCAGGTATATCAAAGTGGGCCAAGATGAACCAGAATCCTAAAATTAAGCATTCGGACCAAGAACCAATGCAAAAGCCAATTCAAAATTCCTCCAATCTTCGTTCTTAAGCCAAGATTTTCACGAGCACGATCAACTAAGAATATCGTTGATGTTGCTATTGACTATGTGGAAAGTAATTGAAAGAAGCAAAGATTCCTGCATGGAAGGCTGCGTTGTGCTTCCTCTGCAGACAGTGAATAATTTCTGATTAGTCGAATTATAGATTAAACCACTCGGAGGTGGTAGTTGAAAATGGCCCTCGGTTCCTAGAAAAACCGCGCTACTCCCACTTCAATACCCTGTCCACTCTACCCTACATCACAATCTTTTTACATTTCCCTTTCCCCCCCTTGCAAAGCCGCAGTGCTGATCCCCACCCGTTACTTGAATGTGCGCCGGGCGGACCTACTGTCTAGGGGTCATTCATCGTCTGGCTCGGTTTGCTCCTCATAACTCATTGACATGCCCACCATGTATTTCTCCAAATATTGCAACCCCAAGCTTCGGCCAGCGGCTATTCTCCACATGCTTCTTTGGTTCACTTGGCTACATTATATTTCAATGGACTTGCATTTCTCTTTTCAATCAAATCTTCAAGCTTTTACCTCATAATTACCATCAAAAATGACTCTCCCTGTAGCCTGTCCTCCTTCCTCTGCCTCGTCGGATCCGCCTACTGTCGCTCAACGCAAGCGACGCAGGAGAGCTCCAGCCAGCGGTGCATCGGACGATTGTTTCGCTTGTAGCAAACGCAACGTAAAATGCGACCGAAGAAGACCATATTGCTCGCAATGCCTGGAAGTAGGAAATGAGTGCTCAGGTTACAAAACTCAATTGACTTGGGGTGTGGGAGTGGCAAGTCGAGGAAAACTGCGAGGTTTATCCTTACCCGTTGCAAAATCCCCTCCTGCTCCAAAAAGTCCACCCATTACTCGTCCTCGAGCTGCTTCTACCATTGCGAGAACTTTGGAAAAAAATGAAGAGGGTGTTCGAATCAAACTCGAAAATGCAGCTTCTGTACCGGTTAGCCCATTTATGACATATGATTTTGTCAATATGGCACCTCATGGAAACGCTTCAACGGCTACCCAAATGTCAGATTGGAATATAACCGCACCATCTCACGAATTCACAATTCCAAAGTACCATCCTGATACACAACAACGGCATATGCAAAGATCTTTACCCCCACAACTTCATCGTATACATACGCTTAGTATCGGAAGACCAGAAGGACTTTCTAGTTCCGTGGACTCTCTGAGTCCATATCCTGACAGCGAGTATACATCACCAATCAGTCAGTCTTTTCAAAATGATGAAGTGCCCTTTCTCAACAGCCCGGCGCCTTTGTACAACAGCTATTCTTCCAGAAATACCTCGGTGGCAGATCAAAGTTCGGATATTATGGGAAACTCACGTGGGCCTACATCATGTCCAGATCAATTTTACGCTCCATCAGAAATGAGCTCAAGCATGAGTTCCCATCAAAATATGTATGACTTATCAGAGGGACGCCAACCTCAAAGATCTCATCAAACGTCTTCTTCAGTACATGAAATCTTCTATGATGATGAAATGTTAGGTGAATAATTTCATTCGACGCGTTTATTGAGACCCCCTTTGCTAACTATTGTTTACTAGGCATTCAAAACTCTCACGAGCCTGAAGTATTTGCTACAAGCGCTAGGTCAAGTCATTTTGGTTGGACTTCTGTAAATGAAGATGATGTTGGTTCCCCTACGTCGGAGACAGATACTTATGGTCATATCACTGGGCATGATTCCATGTCATCTTCACTTACATCTGAAATGTCACCTCGAATCTCATTCTTTCTAGATTACTACGAGAAAATCATCTGCCCGTCGGTAGTGGTCATCGATAGCCCCTCAAATCCATATCGCGAACATATTCTCGCTCTAGCATCCTCAAGTCAAAGTCTTCAACATGCCATTTGTGCGCTTGCTGCTTGCAACTTACGCATGAAACGAAAACAATCATTAGGTCAAGATCATTGGCGTCAATCAATTGAACTCGAACTTCAAGATCGTATAAATGCGGGGTCTATCGGCAGACCGGTTTGCACTAGAAGAACCTCCACTCAATCAACATTAACCGATTCTTTGAGCACCGACTCATCGCTCCAAGAAGAATATCAACATCGCTCTCTAGCTGTTTCCCTGCTTAATCAACAATTGACCGACCCTTCCAAAGCCCGCCACGATTGTGTTCTCGCGACACTCTTCATCCTCTGTCATTACCGAATGTGCGAATCTGGTATTGCTCAATTCCGTACTCAATTTGCCGGAGTGAAAAAGATTCTCGGGATGCGAGAATGCGGAACCGAGACTGGTAATTGGGGATGGATGGAATCCCTCTTCACTTATTTTGACGGCATTGCCGCTTCAATCAATGATCGTGAAGCTCAGCTTCGAGGTGGATACCTTGAGATGCTAGCTAGTCCATCTAATCCCAATCACGGGCTGGAAAACATGGCAGGTTGCGACGCTGTCCTTTTCAAAACAATCGCCAAGTTGGGACGCCTCAACCTATTGTCGCAACATCGTCCAGTTATGAACGATGATTTGACCCACCCCCCTCATCCAAATCATATTCACCATGCCAATGGACTTCACAGACCTCGTCTAGCTGGCCAAGCACTTGTCGATTTTTATAATCTTCATTCTCTTTCATTCGACGGCAATGGTTTCGCTTCAACAATGTCTCTTGACGATGAACCCACTTTTCCTATGCAAAATCTCACACCTCTCTCGCCTACTTCTTGCTCTCCAACAACATCTGTTCCATCCTTCATGTCCACTGACGATCCACAAACTACATTTTGGACCGAATGGAAAGCCGCTCGCCTAGCACTTCAAGAGTGGGAGTTCTCTCCTTCTCACATTGTCTCTTCCCTTCCAGTCACTCCAACTCCCACTCAGCTCCGCGATTTCGGATATATTTCTGAGGCATTCCGTTACTCAGCTCTTTTATACACCGAACGTCTTGCATGTCCCAAAACACCAAGCTCGCATCTCAACTTCCAGAATTTGGTCAGCCAAGTCTTGTTCTACGTAACAAGTTTGGAGACCAACAGTGGATGTGAGAAGTTCTTGTTGTGGCCCCTTTTCATAAGCGGGAGTGAGTGTGTCAATGAATTGCAACAGAGTATTGTAAGAAGTAAATGCAGAGAGATTATGGGGAGATCTGGGTATCTCAATAACTTGGCGGGATTGGAAGTTTTGGAAAAGTTATGGGCAGAAGGGAAAGATGGTAGAGCATCTCCGGATGCGATGAGAGGTCAAGGCGGACCTTTCAAATGGAGTAAGCACATGGACGGCATTGAGGGTGAGTGGATTATGGTTTGAGTTGTCTATATGGTTGGGGTATTTGTTTGTGACGACTTGACGACTACTTGTTTTCTGTTGTTACGATGATATCCATTGTTGTCCATGTCACATTTATCATGTATTTCAAGTACGTTAAGCTACGCGAGGCCTTTTTTTCTTATATATGTTTATTATAGCCACAATGCTCTTTTCCTTTGCACAATCTGGAGAGCGATTGTGTTTAGTTGTTGATT